GTCGCCTCCTAAGACAAGCATAGTCGCCTTTTACGGCAAGCATGGGTTGCTGAAGAACTAAGCTATCCCGGATCTTCACAGGTCGAATGTATCATGACCATATAGTGTACCGGTCACTTGATTCAAGGCATGCAACTGACAGCAGTGCCTTGTTAAAAAAATAGGACACGGGTAACCCAAATTATCAAGTTTCTTCCCAATTCACCCCTTCATAAGGAAAACAATATTTGATAACACCATATCTTACTGTGAGTAACTCACTCGACTATAAAGAATGTGTATTCTTGAACGTTTGATAATAATATTTGAAAGATACTGGAAAATATTCCAAAGCAATATAAACAGAGTGTGTTATTCTTGTTAGTGTACTCTGTGGTGACTTGAATGATTCTATATGATTGTACTCTGTGGTGACGTGAATGATTCTGATTCATTGTACTCTGTGGTGACGTGAATGATTCTATATCATTGTAATCTGTGGTGACTTGAAAGATTCTGATTCATTGTACTCTGTGGTGGCTTGAATGATTCTATATCATTGTACTCTGTGGTGACGTGAATGATTCTATATCAGTGTACTGTGTGGTGACGTGAATGATTTTATATCATTGTACTCTGTGGTGACGTGAATGATTCTATATCATTGTACTCCGTGGTGACGTGAATGATTGTATATCATTGTACTCTGTGGTGACGTGAATGATTCTATACCAGTGTACTCTGTGGTGAGTGAATGATTTTATACCAGTGTACTCCTGGTGAAATAAATGATTCTATGTCAGTTTAATCTGTGATGAAGTGAATGATTGTATGACAGTGAACTTTGTGTTGAAGTGAATGATTCTACATCAATGTTCTCTGTGGTTAAGTAAATGATTCTATATCAGTGAACTTTGTGTTTAAGTGAATGCTTCTACATCAGTGTTCTCTGTGGTAAAGTGAATGATTCTATATCAGTGAACTCTTGTGTTGAATGGCTTGTTTTCACTTTTATATAAGGACATGGCTCCATTATGACAGGCTCCGCCATCATGCATGATAGCGGAGCTTCAAATTAAGACAAGAGATATTATTGGATGAAATGGTCGCGGATGTGGAGGTACTGGTGGACTGCAGCAATGAGCTTAACCCCTGTTAAGCAACCCCAACTGCAGCAACCGCTGCCCTGCAACAACCATTGCCAAGCAACCCATGTTGCTTACCGATGCAGCGCCCGCTGCCCCGCAACTGACTTCGTTAGTACCAACTGACCCCATATCCGAACCAGGTTCTTTTGGTCGTGGGTTCGATTCTCATATGTGACATGGTTAATTTTAGTCCCCCAACATCATACATTGTGGCTATGTTGGTTGGTGGCAGTAAAGTGGTCATGTCGAAGACATGTATCATTTGGGGATTTTCTCGAACATTATGCTGACTGAACTGAACTTTTATTACACTCAGATCGCCACCAGCGGCATCAGCGGTACAAAGTTATTTCAACAACATAAAACATATACATATAAATATAAATAGATACAAGAACATGTTTGCCGAGCATGCTTGCATATTAATATAGATTTACCGAGCATGCTTGCATATTAATATAGATTCACTCAGGTAGCAATATATATGCAATTCAAGAGAAGGGAGAGGTACTTCATATATTTAAACAATGACATTATGATTTTACAGAATTTGGACAATTTTCTCAATGTTCCTAATCGTGCATCCTTGAAAAGTAAATTCATGTTATACATATTTGTAGAATACATGTAGTAGAATCTGTAAAAAAAATTTCTTTCGTTTTTTAAAGATGGACAAATAAACAAACAATGGATTTCATCACCTATGTCAGATAGTGGACATTGTCTTTTGGTTAAAGCTAATTTGCCCCATCTCCCTGTTCAAATAGGTAGATTATGGTCACAAGTTGTAAGCTTAAGTGAGACTCGCCAAGCGTTTTCCTGCTGTAGGTTCAAGTAATTTTGAAAATGTTGGCAATATTTTATTATGGTACCATACATGGTGCCTTTTTAAGACCGATCTCTTGCAGTTGTACAACAATGTAGATTAATGTAATTTAATTTCTCATGGACAAAACATTATAGAACTGACATATTATTTATAAAACAAATACGTTTAATACCAGACCTTATTACACATTTTGAAGTCCGATGCAGGGTTGGCGTGAACATGTACATATACAACTTGTATTCCTAGTTTATATATTTATATATTGTGTTTTGTATCTCAATGGAGAGTTGTCATAGTAACCTACTGCGGGCTAATGGACACAATCTATATATACCATCATCTGGCTTAGTGATGGAACAATTAACTTTCCAATGGCATCAACTTTGCTTGGCTAATCCACCCCATCCAGTCAATGTGCTTATCTAATGATCTATGTCATGTCCCTCTGCACCTTTGTCATGTACCGGATGTGACGTAACACTATAACTTCCCCACACCTTTGTATACCAAATCCATCGTATCTGTTGTATGACTGCATTGACTGAACAACATCCCCACTCCACAACCTACCCCATTCTATTGGTTAAAGGAATAATTGGATACAAAACGTGCTTTGGCCGAAATTTACCAACTGTGGTAACACGTTACGCTACATAAAACCTGGAAATGTTCGATCCCCGGGACAGTTTATGCCATGAAAACCTACATAATGATCTCTATCCAATCCCCAAGACACCCCAGAAGACGGTGCTCAAGAGGGAGTGTGTTCTTCCGGATTATGCCTTGTTGAGTGATGAAGCATTCACTGACGTTTGTCTGGGAGCATTGTGACACAGTAACGTTCGTAATCAACTGGGTCCGCAAACAGTAAGGCTCTTACAACGTGAACATTAATCTGGCACAAGCGACATTTTCGTGGCCACTAAGATGTAAGCCCTGAAATAGTTCCATATCACAATGGCTTCTTTGTAATTGCTAGAACGGAACTTAACCCATGGATGAGAGGGCCAAACTGTGCTGACATCGTATTTAGTCCGCGGGTCCAACCGGTTGAAACATAACTCAGACCATCCCAACATATTTCTTATAGTTTTGACATATGCACCTGATCCTGTTACAGGTCAAATTGGTACATATGACTACCTTAAGAAAGCTTTACTAAGGCCTTTAGTGATGCAGCTCTAATCCATGAATCATAAAGCAATGTAGTCACAAACTAGAAATAAAGGCATGGTCTTCAGAAATGACTTTCCCTTAAAACATATCTCCCTTAATCAGGAACTCCTGTCCAGACTTAGATGTAAAGTTTTCCAGAATTTGAAGGTCTTGACCTTGACCTTGCAGTAACTAAATTTCCAAAAACATAAGGTTATAATCATTGGGGTTAGACTTGAACGTGTATAGCTTACACTAAGTAAACGATCATGTCAGTGATTTATCCACCGGGTATATCGTATGATTCCGAGCGATATGTCCTATGGAAGCTCTTTTCCATAAGAGACAATCAGACATGTTTCAAGAGCTGAAACAGACCATTTCCAGAGCGACACGATATATGATGAACGATTCAAAGTCAATATAAAATATTTGGCAGCGTGTTTGCAGTTTGACCACTTTGCTATTATCATATCACTGTCAACAACGCAGTGAATTAGTGCAAAGTATGTTGTATGTTATATTATTAGTTCATAGTTCACAGTCAAGCTATTGTGGGGGGAAATATGTCATACACAATATGACAAAAAAATAAAGTGGAATGTCTCTAGTCACCTCATAAGAAAGTCATCAGTCAAGTGACTTACATGACATACGTTGACAGAGTTACGACTAGTGGTGCACCAGTTCATATATAATATATATCAATATAGATAAGGAGCATACCATACATACAGGCCTCGAAGAAATCAAGTGAAAGTATCAGAACACATATCATATATCTGGGGCACAAAATGTCTTGTGTTTGGCATATGATGGCAAAAATACCTTAAGACACTCCAGGAGTCAGGAAATAAACAGGACCCTTTATGTGCCAGTCATTATATCACATGATGTACGGTATCATCACCCGTGTAGACATACTGATAACCCTGACTTGACACATGTTTCTAAGGAAATGATTATTAGTTTAAATGAAAATTCCTAGATAATAAAAATAATAAGAACAAGTTGTTCCTGAGAGTACTGTCTGCTAATGTAGACTTGCCTGTTATAAGCAAAAAATGACTACACAAAAATGGACTGATCATTCAGTACAGACTTGGAGCAAGGCTATGTTAACCCCAACAGCAATGGGTTGATGTAGCAATATACACATGGACTGATCATTCAGTACAGACTTGGAGCAAGGCTATGTTAACCCCAACAGCAACGGGTTGATGTAGCAATATACACATGGGTATACATGGTATAGGGAAATGTAGTACTGAAGCAGGTCACGCCCACTCATACTTTGACGGGTATGACAGGGCTAGTATGACACTGCACTGAAATATGTAAAATGTGCCAAGCAAGTCTATGTTTTGCCAAAAGTAGATTTCTCCTGAAAAATGACGAAATTCTATGGATTCCTTTGTACGACCTATTACAAGACAATTCAAACAAAAAATCTAAACACACTTTCATGTCAGAGACAAAAAGTTAGCACCATATTCGCCACAATAAGTGCCCTAGGGCCTGCCACAACAACTTGAATCTGTTGTCAGGGATATAGAGGAAGAGAAGAGACTTGGTTCAGACATTGGTGACATCAAATCTTGTTTGATAATAGTTATAAGTGGTAGAAACTAACAGTTTCAGTCCACTAGTCCTTATAATGATAGCATATAGCAAAACCTCTAAAAATGGCAAAATTCTACTTGTCCTTAGGATACCTTTACTATTTGGCACTTTGGCAAGGACTATAGGACTAGTGCCAATTTCTAACCCTGGTTATACATTGCTGTACAATATACACAAGAAAATAGGACCCATTGGTGCAAATGAAATATTGGTGTGGGGTGCTTTTAAGGCGAATACAGTGGCTACCATGGTAAACAATCCCCTACCTTAAACAATCTTCCATCTAGAGGTGAATATCAATGGGCTGCGAGGAGGCTGTGTCAGAAGGTTGTGTCAGAAGGATGTGTCTGGAGGATGCGTCAAGAGGCTGTGTCAGGAGTCTGTGTCAGGAGGTGATATCGGTGGATGAACAACGATGATGATCTGGGTCTGCAACAATGTCCAACACAATGAACACAACTAATTGACAGCCAAAGGAAGCAAGATAAACCATAATTACTATGCAAACGTTAATGTCCTCATATCATAGAAATAAACTACAAATTGAATTTAATGGAAATTTATGAATAAGGTGTTTATATGTGATTTTTCCTCGTTCAGAATACTAGAAAAAGTACAGTACTGTTACCATGGATACAATGAACTTGTAACACGAATGACTAGAGCCGGCATCATTATTAACTTTAAGGTTACGTGTTTAGAAAAAAGAAGAGATTTTAAAGATACAAAATGATGAGACAATGCACTGTTTCCTTGGGAGTGGGAGCCAGGGGGGAGAGGGCCGTGGTTGTGTGACATCGGGTCAGCAGGTCTGTACAGCAGCAATGGAATAAAGACATACAACTTGGTCAGTGAATGGAGCATAATGTATGAATACTCATAATAAAGGGAGGTGTTTTTGTCGGAAACACAGTAGTTGAATACGGTTTGTTTACACTGTTCAGGCGTGGACAGTGTTTGAAGGTCGCCTTTATAATACATACAACAATACAGGAGGCACGCCGCCTGCTCGCTCACCATGAAAACACTTGCTCACCATGAACACACTTGCTCACCATGAAAACACTTGGAATGCGCACCAGAGGGCGGTAAATACAGGTGACAAAGTCTTAGAGGGCTGCGAATGGCCAAGTCATGTGACATGGTTTCCAACATGCTTCGTCCCTATTTGACAGAATGACAGCTACATGCAAGAAATAAATACTGTTGAGTACAATATACGAATGAATTAATAGCTGTCCCTGACAAGCGATGGCGATTTGACCAGACAGAACCACCATGTTCGTGATGCAGGGCACAAGAGACATGTGCCTCCATGGCCAGCTGATGGAGGTAAACAAGGCCGTTCGTGATCTCGCCTTTGATTGGTATGCTACTTCCAGTAACAGAAAGGCGGGTGATCGGTTAGACTTGTTTCAAGTCTCTACTGAATGAGAAGTACATATAACCGTATTCTTAGAGACATTTGCAAGTGTAGTGGTGGGTGATTTGGAGACCATGAGTAGAGTGGATGTGCACATGTGGTGCTGTGAAAAGTGGAAAAGAGGAAGAAGATCTAACTGATACATTGGTTGATATGAAAAACAAAGAATAATTATGCAAAAAAATTTTTTACAGAAAACATAAGACGTGAAGGTAAATGTGGGACTAAATGCTGACATCACCATTTATATGTCAAATGTTATTGAAATTACATCATAAACAGGATATTTATGCTATATCTTACGAAGGAGGGCAGTTGAGTTCAATGAGGGACTAAATCAGTGATCGGTAATGCTGAATGGATGTAGGTGTAAGATGTTTACCACTTAGGCAAAATCCATGAGCATGGGAATGGTGCTGAAAAAGTTAGAAACATAATCAGGTCGAACCAGGATTCGAACCCAAGATCACCGGTTTCTGGCATTCATTTTAAGATTAACATACCATCTCTTCACTAAAGTTATGTATACTGTTGAAAAAACAATTGTATAAGGAACAATAATATTTAATATTTGACAATGGGATATGTATAGGATGGTAGAGTGAGTGAGTGAGTGAGTGAGTGAGTGAGTGAGTGAGTGAGTGAGTGAGTGAAGTTTAATGCTGCTTTGAACATAATTTAAGTTATATCATGGTGTACAGGCTGATAAGAGCTGAGAATGGGATAAGCATAGGATGTTAGAATAAGTGAGTGAGTGAATGAGTGAGGTAGGTTTAATGCTGCTTTGAACAGTATTCAAGTTGCATCACAGCGTACAGGCTGATAGAGCTGAGAATGGGATGAGTACTATCAGATGGATCTGAGAAGGGATGAGGGATGGAACAGAATGAGGGTGATGGATTTATATGATCTGGGGTCTTAAAGAGAGACAAGATTATTTCAAACCACCAACTTTCCTCTACCTTGCAGGTATGCCTAAGGGACACAACTCTGCACAGCTAAATTGAAAAAAACAAAACAACTGTTCCACCCATACCACAAAGACTCATAAAAAGACAGAAAGCAACCACAAACAAGTTCTTGGTGAACTGGACCTCGGTTTGTAACCAAGACAACACAGCCACATAAACCATCGTTGAGGTTTTCCTAAACCCCAACCATCAGCCTAAAAACAAGTACCATCCTTTACCATCATTTGGAAAGACACGGCCAACAGGGGATTGAACCATCGGCCTATCACTCTGCCAGTCTTGTAGAGCATGTGTGTGAGTGAATGAAAGTATTCCAGTATCACCACGGCAGTAAATAATCAAGTCTGGGACATGGTATACGGACATGATATATGGACATGTAGTGATGAAACACTTCAGATGTTGGTGTCATACTCATCTCTCCCACAGACACTGAAGAAGAAATATCGGAATGCTCCAAAGCAAGTCTACAAAACTATGACAACTCTAGATTCCTCCTGAAAATGAAGAGATTCTCTGGAATCCTTTGTATCATATGTTTCCATGGTCGCAAGACAATTGAAACAAAAAACTCAAACATAGGACCAGCCGTTGTAAACACTCCGGGGGCTTGGCAAATTGACAAAGTGGAGCGCTTATTGAAACCAAGCATAAGTTACATTTGTTGTCAGAGACGTTGCGGAGCTTGATAAACTTGATAATAATGGCAAGGATTTTCCATTAATTACTTTGGATCAAGTAACAGAGATAGCTAACCCATGCCCTTCCACATAACTAACCCTAAGGATTGTATAGGGGTGCTTGATCGGAAAGGGGTACTTAACCCTAAGGATTGTATAGTGGTGCTCGATCGGAAAGGGGAACTTAATCCTAAGTATTTTATAGGGGTGCTTGATCGGAAAGGGGTACTTAACCCTAAGGATTGTATAGTGGTGCTCGATCGGAAAGGGGAACTTAACCCTAAGTATTTTATAGGGGTGCTTGATCGGAAAGGGGAACTTAACTCTAAGGATTGTATGGGGGTGCTTGATGGGAACCGGGTACCCAACCCTAATGATCATAAAGGGGTACTTGATGGGAAAGGGTTAAACAGAGAGTTGTGATTAACCTAGCCTAACAAAAACACAACTTGCCCTAAGGATTGAAGGGGAACACAAGATCTGTGAAGTGAGAGCCACAATCGACAGCCTGAGACAATTTGTGCTAACTAAGCTGGGCCAAGTAAACTGTATTGCTGATAGTCACTCCTTCACCATTGCTGTAATATACACACAAAAATGGACCTGTCATGTAAATCTATTTGGGGATTATTTAGACTTGGTCAGAGGCCCATATTCAGCCCCAAGTCTGCAGCAAATTACTGCACAAATTCCTGATTTGAATCTAAAATGTTACATTTCAAAAATCAAATTTTGAATATCACAATTTTCCCAAATTGCCTGCCAATGGCACCTTGTTTGGAATTCTAGATAAATCCTTGCTATTTTAGGAGCAGGGTGCTTGATACCACAAATACAGGACACCACATGACAAATATTATTGAGTACAATGAGACCAAAGTATAAAATCACCTACCTTTCACAATGTTCCTTAAGGAAGAGATTATCAGGGGCTGTGGTAAGTTGTGTCAGGAGATTGTGTCGGCGACCGCAGAGCCATCTTTGGTGAGGGTCTGCAACAATGTCCAACACAAGGAGCACAAGTGATTCACAGCCAAAACAAGATAAAACCATCATTACTCCACAAATCTCTGATACCTTGGAAACCAACCAAAAAAAATCAATTTCTTTGAAATTTAGATGTAAAGGTTTCAATAAATGTCACTTTTCATTGGTTCATGATACTGGAATAATGACAGAACTGTTACCATGGTTACAACCAAGTGGAAACACAAAGAGACCAATGTCAACAATGTTATTGACATTTAGGTTAGGTTTTTAGAAGAAAGAAATGGCAGATGTTAAAGGAATATTAATCGATGATACAATTAACTGTTTCCTTTGCAATTTATGCTGCATGACAGGATTGGGTGGAGGAGCCAAGGGGGAGCCCGGGGGGGGGGGGGGGGGGGGGGGAGAGGGCCCAGGGTCGTGTGACATCGGTTCGGCCTGTACAGCAGCAATGGAATAGAGACAATCGAATGGAACAATCAATGAGTGGTGCATGTTGATTAATGATAATAAAGTGCAGTTTGTTTGTCGGTCGGATGAAATACCATAGTCGTATACACTGTGTGACTGTGAGGGCGTGGTCATTGTGTGTGTTGAGGTTCGCATTTACGTTACATACAAGAATGACGCTGCCTGCTTCTTCGCCACGGAAAGACTTGCAACGTGCACCAGGGAGCGGCCAAAGCAGGTGACATTTTCTGTGATGAAAGAAGAACTTGCAATTGGCTAAGGGAGAACTAGCTTTGGAACATGCTTCGTCCCTGTTTGACAGAATGGCCGCTCTGTGCGAGAAATAAAAGACGTGGAGCGAAATATACGAACGTACTCACCTCCAGATGCATGTGCATAATCGTCGTCTCCATCGATAGAGATGCGACAAGACGGAGCGAGCACGCTTGGGTGTGGTGATGAAACGTGCTCCGCCATGGCCAGCCGATGGCGGATGCGACGGCCTTTGACATTAGTTATCTGGCTTGTGATTGGTGCTTTGCCGCTTCCTTCCGGGTGGCTTGGTGCCGGCTGGCTGAACTGCGTTTTTTGGTGGTCGGTGCAAAGGCCAGATGCTCTCGGTGTAGCCGGTGCCTTTCGAGTGGCTTGGTACCGGCTTGCTAAACTGCGTTTTTCGGCGGTCGGTGCAAAGCCCAGATGCTCCCGGTGCAGCCGGTGTAGTCACTTGGTGGATTTGTGTGAAAAGTGGAAGGAAGAAGAAAAATGGAAAAACATGTATGATGAATAAAATATATTTCCTTTATTTGTTACTGCAAAAGATAAAGTACAATAATGTAATAATTTGTTTTACAGACAACCGAAAATGCGAAGGTAAAGAATTAACAGTATAAAACCTGAAGACTAGTTGTAAAAGAAATTCTGACAATTCGAAAGAGAGTTAAAGCTGCATTGAGTAGCAGCAACACCAACTCGCAAGAAAAGCAGAAATAAATACGCCGTGCAAGAAGTATATTGACTGGAAGTAGGCTTAATATATTGACTTAAAAAAATGTATTTTATTTTTTAATTTGGTTGTAGTTATATTTTATGACAAAAATGTGAATAAATGAAAGATAAGACAAGACAAATTAATTGCGTTTGAAAGCGCAGTCGTCATTCTAGGTGAAAGCGAGGAATTTCGAAGAAGCATGTTAAAATGGGTCAGAAGCGGGTTGAAAGCGGGTTGAAAGCGAGAAGAACGGAAAGGCGGAAAAGCGATTAGTGGTAATTCTAGGTGAAAGCGAAACAATAGTGGGTTCAAAGCGGGTTAAAACGGGGCAGTAGCGGGGTGAAAGCGGGGCCAAAGCGGGGCCCGGGTAAGCGAGCCAAAAGAAGGGAAAGGGAGAAAAGCGATTCGTCGGTCGGTGAAAAGGGAGCGATTGGATTGGCTCCGGTTGAAGGGTGAGAGTTGAGTTGGGGGTTCATGCAATAAGTAAGAAGTTCCTTAAAAAAGAGTTCCTCCTAAAAGGGGGGTTTGCACCCACTAAAGGAGTACCTGGGCCAAAGTGGGCAGTGCCAAGCGACTGCAGACCAAAAATGCAGGTATGAGCACTTCTGAAGGTACCCAAAAGCAGCCCAAAGTTGATTTACCGACGGTTGTGAATTGTCTGGAAAAACCCCTTTCTATTAATAAATGTTCGGATATACCGCGAGATTACTAAGATTACTGTTGGCCACATTAGCGCTGTTAAATGATAAATCTGGCTTATGTGTGTATAGGATCGATTGTCAGGCCATGGGAATCATTTGTTTGCGGGTTATAAGCTCGCAACATTCCCCGTTAAGCACCGGTCCAGGTTTTCTTACGGGGGCTTAAAATGTAATACCACACGTACGTGGCACGTTGCATGATACTTCCAGTACGCAACAGATGCCTAAACCACAAAGACAGATACTATTGATTAATTCGAAGACTGAAAGAGCAACTCTATTCGTTGGGTATGAATAATATTTGTGCAATATTATGTGGGATATGTATATAGATGTTACCATTTTTTAGTGCACATTTCGAACTATAAAATATGAATTGCGCTTTATCAGTCATTTCGGCACAAACGTTTTATCTGAACAACCATGAAACTCATGACACATTTCTATTAACGTGTTCTCATGTGATGTTCTCTAGGCATGACAAGCGAAGGCTTGGGGGATGTCTGGGTATCGGCAGCACTTCACATTGTAGTTATATAATACCCAACTGATTAAAGATAAACTTCTCTCAGAATGTCGCTTGAAACACGTTGTGCAGTCTTTCTTAGTATTTAACTTGTATTAATGGAAGAGGTGACTAAAACTCATAACGCATGGGGCAGGGAGGCTGAATGGCTGTTTTGCTCTTGATAGTGTTGCACAATGTTGGACATGATATACATGGTATCATAGCCACTAAAGTTTCATCATGTTTCAGATAAGTGTCAATACAACAATACATGCGCCCCCTTCCCTTCACATCCCCCCCCCCCCCCCACACACACACACACACACACACATATTTTATATAACATCTCTCGACCCTCGACCTCTATTGCTATTATATCTATCCAAAGAATATGTATATCTCTAATTCGTTATATCTTTGAACAGCTATTGGAATCGACGGAACTTAAAACAGTTGCGACTGACGGAACTTAAAACGGTGGCTATTACTGTTAAACCTAAACCTAGACCTAAAACTTAGATGTGCGAAAAATCGGGAAAACCTGACGTCAATTTGGTCATCGACAACTTCCATGCACCAAGTCGTCGATCTGCTGTCAGTCAGTCAGTCAGTCAGTCAGTCAGTTCAGTTCAGTTCAGTTCAGTTCAGTTCAGTTCAGTTCTGACAGACAGACAGACAGACAGACAGGCAGGCAGGCAGGCAGGCAGGCAGGCAGGCACGCAGGCAGGCAGGCAGGCAGGCAGGCAGGCAGGCACGCACGCACGCACGCACGCACGCACGCACGCACGCACGCACACACACACACACACACACACACACACACACACACACACAGGGTACCATTTTTTAACGTCTTTTGGTATGACGCGGCCCCGGAATAGAATCCTGGACCTTCCGCTCACCGGACGGACGCTCTACCATTAGACCACAGAGGCGGTCATGTGTCTGAGAGACCTTTTGCAGACAGATAAATACTAAAGCTGGGCTGGGCTGGGCTGGGCTGGGCTGGGCTGGGCTGGGCTGCTGGGCTGCTACTGAGTTGACAGGCATATTCATCGTCTCACTGACAGATTTAACCGTCCCAAGCGGCCTGGCCTGTCCTTTTGAGGGGGATGTTCAGATGACTGAAGTGAGTGAAGCGCCAGAGAAATATCTTTAAATCAGCCGTTTACCGCTCCCAGTGTGGCCTGTGCTTGTCGTGAGAAGAGTTGTTGATGTGACTGAACTGAGTGAAGCGCCCGAGAAATATCTGAAAAATAGCCCTTTACTGAAACCAAGTTGAATACCGCGGCTTCAAGCCTGATCCTAGGTTTGAGGTCTTGCATACAAATTATTTTGCATTACTTTTGTTTTCAAAGAACACCATTCATGCTTTATTTAATGACACGGTAAACGATTCATTCAGCTGTGTATGTATATTTCTATAAAAGATTATCTAAAAAACAAGGAGAGACAGCCGGTTTGAACCCATAAACTTTGTAATGAGAGCGCGACACGCTACCACTTGTTTTATTTGGCCATTTTTCTACTTATACCTTAACAATTTGGTAGAGTTAAATTCTGTGGTAATGCGCGGGAATATACAAATTGTGGCTCGTTTGTTTTCGTTACCACTGGTATTGTGAAAATGCTTGCCGCAAACTGATGATGCCCTGGGTTCAAACTATGGAATGGTACAACGCCGGGGGTTCTTTGAAACCTCCAGCGAAGACACCCCGAAACATACAGCGGCTGGGGGAGGAGTGTTAGCATGCCCAAACATCAATGGCACTGATGCAGACTATTCGCGATAGACATGTCAAACGAATGCATGCAAGAAGAAAGTCAATGGTTGGATAAAATGGGTGAGGATAATAATAGAGAGTTCTGAAAGAACATGGTCAAATTGGGGTAGGTGGGGAGAGACGAAAACAGATCCCCTTTGAGAGTGGTTGTAGACGATGGAAATGTGTCTGAGAAATGGAGTGATGTACTAGATAAGTGGAAGAATGATTATTGTAAACTGTTGAATGGTGACGTCAGGATGCAGAATGTTAAGTGTGACAGTGAGACTGTTGACACGTGTGTTGTTCGACGCTAAAATTACTCTGTTTGAAGTAGCTAGAGTGGTTGATAGAAGTCACGGTGGCAAGGCTTGTGTTGACGTATCCCCGATGGAATGTCTTAAATAACAAAATGTTATTTCGGCTATGCACATTATTTTTAATATTTGTTTTATCACAGGGGAAATCCCTGCATACGAAAGTGTTCTATTTTAGATGCTTCGGATCCTTTATCGTATAGAGGTTTGACCCTCACCAATCTATGTATATTGTAATATCTTAAATAACCTTCTGCAATCTTGGGCTGAAAGTACAGGAGCTCGAAATGATGCACAAAATGGGTTCCGGAAGCCTAGATCAACTTTCGGATCATATTCACTCTGTGTTCTAATTGTAAATAAAAAAAGGGTATTAAAAAAGACACTTTTTTTCTGCTTTTATTGACTTTCATAAATCGTATGCCAGCATTAACAGAGGTGTGCTGTGGGAGAAATTAAGTAATATTGTTGTCAAAGGGAAAATGTTTCTTGCACTTCAATCTTTATATCTGAAATGCAGTGTGGTATATATGGTATGCATACACCCTGGTTTAATGTTAATCGGGGTTTAAAACAAGGATGTTTACTCTCGCCAACTCGGTTCAATTTTTTTATGTTTATGAAGGATTTGCTTGACAAGCTAAGTTAAACTGATTTTGGTATTTGTGTTGATCTTTTTTTGCTTGCAGAATAGGCAGGTGATTTGAATAATCTATTACATGTTTTGAATACTTGGTATGTAGACAATAGGATCCTTATTAGTTATGACTGTAAAAGGTCAAGCTATTGAACAGAGTAAAAATATAAGTAACTATGAATAAATGTTTTGACAATAGAATGAAGGAATGTGAAAAAGGTATGAACAGATGGTCTATTATCACGATAATGCGAGCCAACATAAAATAAGGACTTCGTCTCTCCGCCACGCACTAAACTTGGATCCGTCTATTGAAGATTTATTATTTACTCCAAACTGGTTTACTTTCATTCTCTGCGCAACATTTGAAACGTTAACAAGACATCTCGACCTCTGGTTGAAAAACCTGTGACGTCAGAACTGGCGATGATGACGTCATACCCTTTGTACTTGAACTCTGTGGCCTTGGTCCTGGTACAGCTGACAGTGACGCTTTATGTGGTCCAATTTCAGTTTCATTTCGGCCATAAAACTGATCAATTTGAGGGGACGTTTGTTGCCCAATGTCAGTAGGTGTGACTTTTTTCGGAATTAAAGAAGGG